TCACAACATTTCTCTCTTAAATGGATAATAACGTTACCCTAATGTCTCAGTGAATTTAGAAATCAGTCCATCTTTGAATTGAAAGTTGCCACAATTTTTAATTTAATATTTCACTTTAACTTGGCTTTCTTCCAATTCTTCATTCTGTGCTGTCTGATATTTCATCCCACAGAGACTGCACAATTACTATAAATCATTTACTGTATTTTGTTGTACACAATAGTTTTGTTCATATCATTTTATTCTTCTTGAAAATGGCATTCTGCACGGTCATGATGCCCCTTTAAATTCTTCATTTTGCCAAAGGTAGTTGAAAAGGAAGGTAATAGAAAATAACTTCTAGTGGAGTATGTGCCGACAGACAGAAATCATAATGACTGATATTGCTCTATGTTCTCTGGGTTTGGCCAGTTCTGTAATTTTCAGAGTGAAATGCACATCCAGAAGTGTGTTTTCCCTGACATAGTATGTTATCAGCCTATCTTGTAAAAATAGCATCCTCATTCTTAATGAGCTTTCAAATAACTCAACTTTAAAGCATCTTTTATTGTTTTAATCAAGTTTAGGATTTTTAAATAGTTCCAAGTTGACCTTATTATCTCATGCTTTATAAACACATTTATTTATGCTACTAAGTGTAAATAATATAAAGATAAGAACAGAAATGAATGTTAACTTCAATAATACAAATAAATGTATTCCACAGGAACATTTTGACCTCAAATAACTGGGTATTTTTACCACGCCTACCAGGGTAATCTTATATAGATAGTTACAGCTTAAATTTGGGGCACTTTGGAGAAATGTATATGGTTACAGACCATAGTAGTAATTCATGATTTATGACCAGGGAATCAGGGAAAAGGAAATATAAATGATGAGATTTTAAGGTCGTATAATAGAAGATTTAAAAATTACTGTTTTGTTGAAAGTGCCAAAATGGACTATCTAAACATGTATGAATTAAAGAAATGCTTTATTTGTTTCTTTGAAAAATTTCTTCAAGCTTCCTGACTTCATAATTCTCAATCAAATGCATGAGACAGCATTTAAAAAATCACAAATGAGTTGACTTAAGGTATTATCTATGCATGGGGTGGAAAAAATTATCTCTTTCTCCTTTTTACCTCTCCATTCATCATTTCTGAGTCTTGGAATATAGTATTTCAGTATTAGGTCTTTTAGCATTTGACTTAACAATCAGTAACTCTCAGATTCCCTATTCATCCTTGGAAGTAGGGATGACTCACGCTTCTCACTGGAGACACTCACAGACATGCCCACTTTCATTACTGCTCTAGAAATTGGCCCAAAGAATATAGCAAGTAAGTAAATTCTTTATCTGTTTTCATGAATATATGAGCCCTGACAGTGGATTAAAACAAAAACTAGTTCCTATGCTGAAAATACCTAACCAAACACTGGTTACCTTAAAATATTTTGAGTTCAGCCATGTTCCTTGGCTTGCAGATGAAAGAAGTATATTTATTGTCTCCCCATTGAATCTCAGTTGGCAAAGCATAGTCTCAGGTTCAGCCTGAATGGAAGGTTATGAGAAAGGTGACAGGCCTGGTCTTGGCCACAACCCGCAGCAAGAAGAAAGACAATGTTGCTTTTGAGCCTGCAGCTTTCACTAGCCAGGGATTCTTAATAGATAATTCTGATCAGTGAAGACATAAGGACATGCCCAAGCTATTGATGCAAGGTGGTAATTTTTCTTATTTGGCAAAAGATATTTCAGTGTTACTGAATCTGTTTTGCTGAAATATTCGTGGGTAATTTAAACTTATTTCAAGCGCTTTCTTTGTTTACCCAGTTACTTCCATCTAATTGGGCTCCAGGTTTCCAGCTCAGCTAAGCTTTTCTGAGATACTACAATTTTCCTAATTTATAGAACAGTCTTTTATAGTCTGGGAAGGGAAATCAGACTAGTTAGCTCAATTGATGTCACAGGTTTATTATGCTGCAATGTTTTCGTATGGGAAGAGCCCAGGAGCTTCATGTAGGTGTGTCCGTTTCCTCAGCGTTCACCTCATAATGTTTTCGTCCTGGCAATTAACTCTCCTGGAAGCACCCACGCTTGCCTTTTCTCATGTAACAGATTTTGCTAAGCTCCCTTTTGGCCTCCTTCATTACTTGGCTTCACTTCACATGTTCTCATTTTTAACTTGTGAGTCTCTGTAGACAAGGTTTTTGACATCCATCTTCTCTTCAATCAAAATGTTATACATCCTGGAATTACTCGTAACAAAATCGGCTCACGACCCTTGTTTTGCTACAGGAATTACATGGGTTGACCAAACTCATCATATAACCATTGTGATAGGTAGTTGTTGTTGATGTTTTCAACTAACTGCATGTCTCAGTTTTATAATATCTCAACTGAACATTTTCAGATTTCACCTCTTCTCTCCCTTTTCTTAAAAACATTCTCACTACCGTCATGCTTATTGTGAAATAAATGTCAAGCCCTAGCTATAAACTCACAGCTATAAGTCACAGCTTTTTCTGTAACTAAAATAAAGAAGATGGAACAGAACCCTCTGGCCCAGGTTATTTGAATAAATTCTATAACATGCTCCTTTGGATAGCCTATGCAATTCACAAGCATATGCGCATGCGACTAGTGTTAAATGATTTCTTATTTATTTGGGAATTATTGTTTGTTTGCTTTGTGAAAGGCCAAAGGGAAGGGGGAAATTCACAGCATTGTGGCAAATGTTGCCTTATCATATATCTATATGTAGAAAATGTGGACTAGAGAATCTTATTTTGAAACAAGTTTAAAAGCATATCAAATATCTGGCAAGTCACTCCAGGATCCCCACTGCTATTGAACTACTCTAATAAAATCTCATCTTTCAAACAGAAAGAAGGCCCAGAAGGTTCTTATTAGCCTCTATTATTAGCCATTGCTAATTCTTCCCTTAGCTCCAAGGATTTAAAGGGCAAAGACTGGAGCCTTGTTCCTGTGTTTCAATTGAGAGCTACTGGTGCTATACATAAGGATACAGCTTTCTGGGCAAACGGCTCAGCTGACCATGAGGAATCATCACTGATTAATTTAGGGAGCCCATCCTCGGCCTGTGGAAGTAGCTGCAGGATAAGGGCGGGAAGTGGTGTGTATCCAGGTGATAGGGTTGCTTTACGTTCCTAGTAAGTTTCAGAAGATGGTGAAGGAAGCTGGGGAGGAGAGCTTGGAGGCACTCCTCGCTGCATGTTTTCAGCAAGGCCTGGCACGCTACCCACTTTGAAGAATCAAACTGGGGGAGGAAGCACTTTGGACCTAAACTGTATATTCAGGGTAAGTAGAGAGAAGCAACTAGTAAGACTTTATTTGTGATGTCACTGCTCTCTTTCACAATCCTTCCCTTTAATTCACCTTTCCAGGTGCCCAAAAGGTCGCATTCCCTTCCCGGTGTAAATGCCTGCGGAAGTAGCAGATGGATGGTGTGGTGATTGAACCAGGAGTCCGAGTGCTCGGTAACAGCATCCCAGCCTGCTCACGTGGCTGGAGGCCGTGAATGGTGCTTCAGGTTCTCCCTGAGAGAGGTTTCCTAAGGCGAGAGCACCTGGCCTGCTCCCCATCGCGGCTGCCAGTCATCATCTGCCTCAGGAATCTCACTGATTTCCGGATGGTGATCTGAGAAACCTGGCCCTGTAGATGCCTCACAGTGATTTTCCTAAGCTGGCAGACACACCTAGCTGGTGATTTTGTAGTTGATTGCTTTGAAAGAAGAAAAGTGCATCGAATTCCAACACATTTATTGCAGATCGACTTGATGCGGAGTGATGAGGACTCAATGGAATGGACAACCTCATGGACAATAAAGATTCTGCTTCCCTGGAGCTTATGTTCAGGTGGAATTGGAAGTTATTTCTGCGGGAAGGCTGCTTGAAGTTCACTGTGCAGGCGAAGTGGAGCACCGTTTCCCCAAGGGCTGTTGAGAGCTGGCCTCGCCCTCCGCGGACACAATTTGAAAGAATATAAATTGCAGAGCAGCTAAGGGGGGTAGGGGGCATCACTTGAGGTGGCTTCTATTAGCGTCAATACGGCGGAGCCAGGGGGCTTAGCTGGAGCCTGAAAACTTCACGCCAAACTCAGACTACAAACCCCCAACCTTCTCCTCCTGCCCGCACCCTCCCCCCCCCCCTCCGAGCAGCCGGGGCCACAGCGGGGGCGCTGTCTCAGGGGGACCCCGGGGAGACCAGGGTGCTCGGAGGAAGTGGACTCCGCATCCGCGTCCCCTGACCCCCGATCCCTGCCATGGGCTTCGCCCTGGAGCGCTTCGCCGCAGCAGCGGGCGCGGAGCTGGAGTGCAGGCTGTGCGGCCGGGTGCTGGACGAGCCCCTGTGCACGCCGTGCGGGCACGTCTTCTGCGCCAGCTGCCTGCTGCCCTGGGCGGACTGCGGCGGCGCCGGTGCCCGCTGCAGTGCCAGCCCCTGGCGCCC